CCAAGGTATTGTGGTCCATAGCAAATAGAAATAGGAAAATGAAGCAAAAATGCAGTACAATATTTTTTTCGCGCACCTTTTTTCCTGCATAATTCCCCTTTACTCTGGGTTCCAGAGGCTTTCGCTTTTATTGTTTTTTTTGGGGGGTTTTTTTTTCACGGTTTTACCATGAGATTCTTTCGTTCTCGTAGAAAAAGAAAGCGAGGCGAACATGGATGGTGGTGACGAAGAGCCAATGGACGTCGACCAAGAGGACACTTCACAAGAAGAAAGCAACAAAGAAGAAGAGCAAGGGAAAGAAACGAAAGAGACGGATGATGAGAACGAGGAAGGAAATGAAGAGAAACAAGATGGCGGTGAAGAACCCAAAGATGATGATAAGGATGAAGATGAAGAATGGAGAACGAAACATGAAAGCGAGGTTAGCAATCATTAAAAATAAAATAATAATAATCAAGGGAATGACTGGGTATGGAATGGGAAGATATTACAACCAAGGGAAAAGTGCAGTCTGCGAAAGGTTAACAACTTGTCAAAGTTATAAAAAGAAATGATACTCAAGGGAATGTGTAGTTCAAAAGGAAGGAACTTTACGCCCAAAAGTAAAGAAAGAAATAATACTCAAGGGAATGTTATGTAACCTGAATAAAGGGGAATCGTTACACGGAAAGTATACGTTCTATTAGAAAGAAACATTAAAGAGAAATTATTTGCGTAGGTTCCAGATGCTGTGCAAGCTGTAGAAGACACTTCAGCCAATGATGGAGCACCTCAACAGAACGATACATTAGAGCAGACCGCTGGTCAAAATGAGCCCAACGAAAACAAAGAACAGCATAGTGTGGGGACCGCAAAGGCTGCTGGGAATGAAGGGCATTCTGGAGAAGCGGAAGTGACGTCAGCACAGTCATCCGCTGATACAAAACAAAAGGTTCAAAAAATTTACATTTTTAGTTGTTTTGTTTTTTTTCGTGTAAAATATTTTGATGGTTTTTGTTGTTGTTGTTGTTGTTGTTATAGCAACGCAAGCAGATGAACCGATCTCGTTCTGACCGGAGCCTCGGGTCCATGGATGAGCGAACCCATAAGCGTTTGAAAACTGTGGACGAAACAGAACTGGAGTCTGAAAAACAGGTAGGGCAAGTGATAGTGGGTTTGCAGGTGACAGCAGCCATGTTGGAGGGGAAGAAATTCAGTTGCGTTATCATCCAACATGGCCGACGGCAAGTGAAAATAAGGACTCTTTCTTTCATCTTGGCTTAATTGGAAGAAACGTCCATGTATTCTGAATAAATTTGAGCTTTGTTCTCTTCTCTGGTCGCATCACCAAGTTTAAATCTTGTTTACAATCCTCCCAATGTTTTTTTTTAGTGAAAAAAATTTCTAATATCCTTGATGTTTATGGGYGTCTGATTTGTGAGAATGGTAGCTCTAGCGGATATGTTTTGGCATTATCCCCTTATACATGATTCTTTCTCTGTTGTATCACAGAGTGACGTGAAAAAATCATCAGAGCTTTACCAACACATCCAAGACGATGAGTCCAAGCACGATGCGCAGACTCTTGATAGTGCAACTGCTGACCAAACTCGAGAACAAGAGGGCGCGCGCTTCCCTGAGCATCAGAGTGACGAGGAAGATGAACAAGACGAAGAAATGGAGGATTCAGACGTGATGCTGAGGGAGAAAGAAGAGCGTCTGGTAATTGGATTGGATTTCAAAGCTTCCATATTCCTCTCTCTCTCTCTCTCTCTCTCTCCTTCCCTTCATTCCTTTCTTTTACTTCTATGTTCTCTTCTTTTTGCGACTCTTTCTCTTTCCTTCCTCTCTTTTAATCATCCATTTCTCCTTTATCTTTCTTTCTTTCTTTCTTTCTTTCCCCCTTCCTTCCTTCCTTTCTTTCTTTCTTTCCTTTCTTCCATTTTTTTCTACCTTCCTTTTTTTAATTCTTTCATTTCAATTATTTTACCGTAGAAGCAAATGCATCAACAAAAGAACCTTCCAGCTGACACAGAAATGAAAGCACATGACGAAGAACAACCGCAAGACACAGAGGAACTGGGCACTAGATCACAGTCACGTGACACGGATAACTCAGCTGATAGGACGAGCAGCTCGTATCACGTGTCTCTTACAGCGTTACATCAAGAAAAAGAGGTAAAATGAGGTTTGACATTTGAATGTCGTTAAGGGCTTATTTTGTTTTGAATTATTTATTATGACAGATGAGGCGTTAAGCCGTGTGGGATGGGCTCGGAAATCATATAAGAACATGCGTGATAGGTATTCTACCAGCTCACTAGATACACTGTGCTGACGAGGTCCAATACAGGCCGAAACAGCTGTCCACGGTTTCTAGTTGAGATGGCTCATTTTTTACGCGACTTGGAGTTGTGAAAGGCCCATTGGCACTCATCTTCAGTCGTTTCATATAAGGCATGCATGCTCTTAAATTGTTTCTTATGATTATTACAAACCGTTATAGATGTTTTTTTCTTCTGAACCAATAACAAAGCACAGAAACATACGCCATCCAATCACAACGCTTGAAATAGGAAGCCATTTCAAAGACATAAATTCCTGTACTTCCGACTACCAACATTTCTTTTTTTTTTTATGCCAAATGAATTTTCTCCGGTTTCCTCCCTTCGCTAAAATCAACTTCTAAATTGCATTTGGGATCAGTAGATAAAGAGCCACTTCTCGTAAATGCACTGATATAATATTTARATAAATATTTCACAGGAATTATCCGTCGATCCAGACAGACTAAGATCCGATCTGGAACATCAGTTATCTGTGTGGTCGAATCTAAACCATGGTACAGCAGAGGAACAACGACTAGCTCAGAGCGCATGGCATAAATATGAAGTACTGACGTCAAGTCTTGCACAAGAGTTGTGTGAGCAGTTGAGACTGGTGCTGGAGCCGTCGCTAGCCACTAAACTCAAGTGAGTTTGTTTTTATTCAAGGCGAAGGTTGATGACTGATGGAAATGAGTACAAGGATATTCTAGTAGATGGTGTCGTGTTTCGAGATAAGTGATGAAGATGAACGATGATTAATGAAATTGGCTTAATGATGATGGTGGTGGTGATGGTGATGATGATGATGATGATGATAATGGTGATGACGACGATGGTAGTGGAAATGTTTGTGTGATGATAATGGTATAACTGAAGATGGCGACGGATGACGATGATGATGGCGATGGCGGTGGTAATGATGTTGCTTGATGATAATGTTAATGTATAATTCGATTTATGATTTTTGACAGACCTTATTGGGATAATAATAATCAGCTGTAATATTAATTTCCATGTTTACGCATCTTTGATCACACACACGTGTCATCCACAGGGGTGATTATCGTACTGGCAAGAGATTAAACATGAGGAAAGTCATTCCATACATCGCTAGTCAGTTCCGCAAGGATAAAATATGGTTGAGACGAACTAAACCAAGTAAGAGACAATACCAGGTGATGATAGCTGTTGATGACTCATCCAGCATGGCAGACAACCACTCCAAACAGGTACGAGCTTGAGCGCAATGTTTCCCCATTCCAGAACACGTGTCACTCCCTAGAGCATACTTTCTTTGTTTAACGGTTGCACACGAGAAGATAAATGAATATGGATTGGATACAACTCAAACAAAGAATCTTATTCTCAAGAGAATGGCAAGTGGTCTGAAATAGAAACTTCAATATGCTTTATATGTGAACAATAAGATGCAGTAATGAAGAAAAAAACAACGCAACATCAGAGCTAGACAAAACACTTCACTATTGATTGTACTGATTACTAAACGTAAAATATTCGCTTGCGCATTTGCGAGCATGAAGAAAGAAAAAGGAGTGCTCAAAGATATTACGAGGGTGCAGTTTATAAAACTTTTTCCCCTTCTTTTCAGCTTGCTTTTGAATCTTTAGCTGTCATAAGCAAAGCTCTAACTCGGCTAGAAGCTGGTGATCTTGCTGTTTGCAGGTAAGGTATGCAAGCAAACACTACAACGTAACAGTGACAATTTATTGTTGTCAGATTTTTTTTTGTTTTTTTTTTGTTTCATGAAGCAAATATTTGTCCGAAGAAATTCCCAGTCCTTCAGGCAGAAATTGAACTCGAATTTGTGTTGTTGTTGCGTTTCCTGATTATTCGTCTTTTTATGCTCAGTTTTGGTGAATCAGTGAAGCTGCTTCATCCTCTACATGAACAATTCACAGATCAAAGTGGTGCAAAGATTCTGCAACAATTTACATTTGACCAGACCAAGACAAAGATAGCTCAGGTACGGTAAAAAATGAATATAGGTTGAATTAGGTGCACCTATCCTGCACTACTCTGATTTTACCATTACTTAGGGTCTTGAAAAAACTGAAGAGAAATTGCTTCCCTTGTAATTACATCTACAAATGTGCACAACAGTTACATCATGTGTCTGGGCATTAACAGTTTTAATATTTTCCCCAGCTTGTTGATACCTGTTCAAGTCTCATGCTGTCATCTCGTTCTCGTATGCAAAGYGGTCCTCGTTCTGGTTCTGATACGTCGCAATTGCTTCTTGTGGTGTCTGATGGGAGGGGTGTCTTTCTTGAGGGAATGGAGGTAAGGCTTCCTACATCTCAATTTTGTTACTTATTCAGCTTAGTTTTCAAGTCAGGCAAGATCTTGCCATCCAATGCCTTCCTCCATATGAATCATCATGAAATATTTAATTTTATATCAAATGCCATTTCTGTTGTTCGCTAAAACACAACTGACCCATTTGGGGTGGGGATTTCTGACCTGTTGTCCAAGTGAAAGTTGTCCATTGAATTACAGCACCTTCTAAATCTTAGAAACCTTATTTTCCAGACTGTAAGACGTGCTGTACGTGCAGCCAAAGCAGCAGGGATTTTCCTGGTATTTGTCATCATTGATAATCCCATCAATAGAGATTCTATCCTGGACATCAAGGTACCAATATTTCGTCCAGGAAAACCACCGGATATCAAGTCCTACATGGAAGAGTTCCCGTTCCCCTTCTACGTCATCCTCAGAGACATTAACTCACTGCCTGTCACACTGAGTGACGCATTACGGCAGTGGTTTGAACTGGTCACCAGTATGGACACTTAGTAGGTTGCCATGGTAATGATATCATGTTAATTTAACTGACATCAGTCACAGGCTGGTATCTTGTTGTATTAGTAAGAATTGCTCATTAGATTATTTCTGGTTGTCAAGATAATTCGTTGTCATGGTAACAGCATTTGTTACTTAATTGCTCACTATGATGGGCTATACAAAATATAACTGTCATGGGGTGGGTAGGGGTTGATTGTTATAAACACTAATCATGAATCCATAGGTATTTATATATTTGAAATAAAAAATATTTCACAGTCTTTTGGTTTTGGTTTCATTGTCTGTGCATCAAGTCTTCAGATAACCAACCTGGAAGATTTAGAAAAGTTTTTTAGTCTCTTGGGTACCCTGTGGCACTACATCAACAGGAAGCCCAATCCTTCTAAACAAGTATATAGGGATACTTACAGTAAACTCGTCTACTTTTCGTTGTGATGGTGGCATGGTGTGTGTACTTGAAGTAAGAAGAAGGACAAGTTGAAAGAACTCTTCTTGTGGTAAGTCTAATGTCTCCATAGTTGATCTTCCTGGTAGAATTTTACTGTTAAAAGAATATTGAGGAATTATCCAAAAAAAAGCACAGTGATTATGCTCTTTATTAGAGAAGATGAGATGATATGAGATGAGGTGAGATGAGATGGGATGATGAGATGAAATAGGATGAGATGATATGAGATGATTAGAGATGATGGACGATCAAGAATGATGATCACGGTAATGGGCATGGGTGGCTTAGCAGTGAGAGCACTCACCTCTCACCAAGGCAATCCAGAATGACTTGGTGTCGTATGTTAGTAATCTCTTCTGTTTTTTTATATTATCCACTACCATTCATCAGCATTGTCATCATCATGCATCATCATCTTCATTATGCATTATTATTATCCATGATCACCATTGTCATCACTACGATGGTGCCTAATGATAATGAATGATGGTGATGGTTATGCTAATGCTGGAAAAATGCAATGTCTATAGATAATGATGGTGACGATGCTAATGCTGGATAATAGCAGTGACTATAGATAATGATGGTGATGAAGATGATGATGGTGATGATGATGGTGATGAAGACGATGATGATGCTGGATAATAGCAATGACTATAGATAACAAGGATGGTGGTGATGATGATGATGATGATGGATAATAATGATGATAATTAACAATATCGTTAAGTATACTTACATTTCTTCATCTGTACTGCTCAGAAAAACCTTGTATAAAATCTTCACTCCTTTCATTAACTTAGCTGCCAAAAATACAACATAATCACAATCAGCAATTTTATATGCTGTAAAGAATGGAGACAAAATATGGAATACAGTGTACATGCTCAGGGATAAAAATAATGGCCCTGAATGGCCTGAAATGATGGCCGGCCACAGAAATTTTATTACAGACAAACTGAGTCAGTAGCACTAACTATCAACATGTGACTAGCCAATATGACAAGAGAATTGTTATGGAAGTTTGGCCTAGCTGCCGTGTGCCAGACATTGCCCAATGAATGGCAGTTATTTTTGAGCCCTGATGCTACTATTGTTCCTCTTATTACAAACTTTTATATGTTTACCTTTCATTTCTTTGCTATTCTCGTTACTTTTATCAATAATACAACCATCTATGTATTTATTGGGTACATTTGTAAGAACTGCAGCATTAGAATTGAGAATCCATAACTTAAAAAAGAAAAATATTTAATATCACATTGCAAATTTACAACATTTAAAAACCACAATATTATATGTTATTCGAAAAGTTCCATCCCCCTACCCCCTTCCACCCCTAACACACACACACAGTAGGATAGATATAGTATCATGTGAGTAATATTGTTAGGTCTCTACTTTGATTTGAGGGATCTTTTTTKATCTCTAGGTCCTCTGGTTATTCTCCCTCCACAAAACCCCACATTCTAAATTCCAATTTGATGCAACTGAGAGTTAGCCATGCCCTGGATTCAAGGTCAACTTGCCTACGGACTTACTCGCCTATGCCAACTTGCATATGTATAAAATCAGCGAGTTGGCGTAGGCGAGTCCGTTATAGCGTATAAAAAGTTTGCATTTTGAAATCTTGAGCTTAAGTGTCAAGTAAGAAGGTAAGTTATGAACTACTTTTATTCATAGGCTTAATATATGGTTATATATTTCTTAAAGTGATTCTATACTTAGGTGAGTTTGCGTAGGTAAAAAAATTGATAATTTTATACGTAGGCGAGTAAGTCCATAGGCATGTTGACTGTTGACCGTGCCCTGACGAGCACTGACAGAGGTAGATTCTGATATTTTCCGCATCATACTCACTATTGCACAGGATTGCCTAGTTTCTTTCTCTCTTGCACTTTTGACCAGGAATTTGAAGTTCACTCTTCCTTGTAGCTTAGACAGCAACAACCTGGACAAGTACAGCTCTGTGGTATATTCTCTAAAATTAAAATAAACATTTATTCCGAATAATGTTAAAATCAATAATGGTATTGGCAATTAACAGTGGCTCTACTGCTGCACATGTCATTCCCATGAGAATAAGATTCCCTTGGTTGCACATGAGAAGACTCATGAATTTGGATACAACTGATGCAAAGAATCTTATTCTCGTGGGAATGACATGTGGTCTGAAATGGGGTAATTTTATGCCTGAGCCGAGGAGGTCTATTTTTCCAGGGAGGAACCGAGAACCCAAAGAAAAACCCTCAAAGCAAGGATAGAATGAACAAGCAAATTTAATCACATATGTCATGAAGCTTGGGAATCAAAACTGGGACACATTTGTAGGGGGTGCGCACTCTCACAGGGGTGTTGTGGAGATGTCTGTATTGCCTTACCTAAAGATATTATCAACACCCAAAGAAGTTGTTACTGCATGTTTGTTGATTCTTACGCACTTGACTTGAAATTCACTGCTGCCGTCGTGTTGCAGAACTAAATCGCCTATAGACCAGCCACATCTGTGACACTTGATGACTCTACTACCCTGAGAAGAAAAAATCATATTTCATAAAAGAAAATAATTAGAAAAAACTTGCTTGCTACACTTGCTGCACTTCCCTGCTAGCAGAGCCTATTTTCCTTTTGTTTTGATTTAGAGAGAAATTTAATAGACTCTGCCGATGTAGGACGTTATTTCTGTTGCGCATGCATGGCGTAACTTAGTAATGCTGTTATGATTTTGACAGCCGCTCTTGTCAAACAATGTTTGGCGCCACGATGTATTACATTTGCTCATGCACACTACATGTTATTTAAAACTGGTTTTGTTCGTCCACAATCGTGGAAGGCAGTGTATCGAAGGAAACGCTTTGCATTGGCAGAGTCTCCTTCCTCCCCGCCTGAAAGAAGGGAGGGAAAGAGAAGAGAGACTCTGCTAGCAGGGAATTGCTGCACATCATACTTCTACCAAATGAATAAATTTCTCTCATGTTTTGCCTAACCATCACTATGTTTTCTATCTATTCATCAAACATAATTCTTGTGTTTTGACTGGCAGTTAGTATTACAGTTGAAACTGCATTTATCTGAGTAAAACTGTATCATGTGTGCAAGTAATATCTGACCACAGATTATTTCACATACCATAGAATCTAGATGTTTTGATTTGAAGGCATTCACATGAAGTAAAATAAAATAACTGCCCAGTAAACAGTCTGTCTCGGCAGGGTTTAATGATCCTTCTTGTAGTGACGGCAGATTGGTTACAGTGCCATGGCAACAAAGATTTAGAGATGTCTGTTGCCATAGTTCTGATGGCAATTCAAGAACCCTATCAAATTGCCTGCAAGAAAGATTGAAATAATTGACCTTCAGAATGTTGCTTTACAATGCTGTCATCATTAGCTTTATCTGCATCATCTTCATTTGATTATTATTTATATCAGCATGGTCATCATGATCATGATCAATATTATATTATCATCATCACCAATATTATCCATCATTATCTTCACCATCAACATCATTTTTCATCAGTAATCACCATCATCTTGCATCATTATTGTCATCATCATCATTATCTTCACCATCAACATCATTTGTGACCATTATGATCAATGCTAAGCATCCTTGTAAATAATCATTACAGGGCATAAAGTAATTGCTGTTCAGTTCATGGCCTTGACCATACCAAATTGTTTTCAGCTCAGCCATACTTCCTAGATCAACATTACTGGTCAAAATGACCAGCAATGCAAAGATTTGACTGGACAAGTTCCAGCCGTTACTTTAAACCCTGCGATCACAACCACTATTACAAGTAGTTGACCACTAGCATTGATTAGATAATCTATTTGGTTGTCCAAATGAAATTCTCACATGTTTTCGGTAATGCTATCCAAACACATTTTACAGCGCATCTCTACAGGTCTCCTCTTTAGACCTTGTCTTTCTTCATCCAGTTGTACGTCATATTCATTTGTTTGTGAGAATATATTTGGCACACTAGATGAGTCATCTATGCTTATTCTTAGTCTCATTTGAAGCTCTTTGTCCTGTACTAGAGACAGCCCATTGCAACTCAAAGGATCTATTATTACATCTGAAACAGCAAAGGGTTAACAAAGCATTAACAAAGCATTAACAATATTGGTGCATCAATTCTAAGCAAGATAAATCTATCAAGAATACTGGGTTTCACTTGGTGTCATTTCGTGTCTCGTGCGGAATGTTCATCAGCTGAATTAATAATTCTTTCTGGCTAACAACCTATGTTGGTCGGTTTTTGACCACCATTTGGAGCAGATAATGAGATTCAAAGACTCTTTAATTATAACAGCTGATTGAGCATCTACTCCTCGATCTTTCATCGTATCAGCTTAAGCATCCTTTAAGGCAATAAAAACGCTTGATTTGAGTGTTTTTACCTTGAAATAAAATACGACATTGCTTCGAAGACTTTGTTGCTTTTTTCCCTTTACTCGATTGTCCATTTAATTCTTCATTCTTTTTCACAACGACACCATCCCTTTTCACTGTTATTTCAACGGCTTCTGCATTAATACACTCAGGATTATTATTATCCGCCTTTCCTGGTTCTCTTAACCCAAGTATAAATTGTAAAACGCCAATATTTTTACGCACGTCACACCAAACAAGCACCGCTTCGTCCGCCATTTTGATTCCACTAAGTTCCCAGGCCACCTCTTGTTGTTGGGTTCCCTGTGTGTCACGCAAGTCACGAAACGGTACCAAAGCTGCAAAACTCTGGATAACGTTCTTACGCCTTCAAATTTCACTGAATAATTCAAGAGTTTTCTTAACAGAATAGTGCTATTAGAGCACTAATAGTTTATTTTCTATTTTTCGTTTAAGGAATATCATCATGTGATAATATAGGAGCTGTCAGCCAGGACAAGTGAAAATTGTGTACACAAACAATCACAACGTGTCGTGTCTTGGTTGCGAAGTTTATAAACTATGTTAATTGAATTATTTAAACGTAGTAAAACATGCAGACATCACCACGAAGACGAATAGGTCATGAAAGCCATCCTGAATGTGGTAAGACTTCACCTTCTTGCTAGATTTATGGTGTCTCGTGGTGTCGTCCCATAACTGGACGTAGTATAAGTCCAATTCATCTTCATATATTCTTTCAGCTGTGGAGCATTGTCGTGTTAAAGTATGTGTTTTTGTTATTTAATCAGCTGGTAGCCGCATTTGTATACGAGAGGTTGATTTACTGTGTCCAGAAGCTGTAGAATCCCAGAAGACATTTATTGGTGAGTTTATGAAATAATCATTATCTTTCCGATTTGACGCGCGCTAATAGTTTTTAGGTAATACTGTCACAAATACTTCACTAAGCTATGCTGCATTAAGTAAATATGAACGACATTTCAAGCATTCCTTTAATGATTTAGTAGCAAAATATTTCTAATACTAGAAAAGAAAGTAAAAAAGCATTTTTAAGAGTCCAGTGAGAGAGAATTTTGAACCAAAACCTTCACCCCCACAGGGACTGGCATCCGGCAGATACCTAGAGGGTGCGATGTCCTATCGCGAAAATCTATTTTGAGCCTCTATCTTGATCGGGTTTTAATATTTAACAGAACAGAAATGTTATTTATTAATATGCTAAATTGATAAATTGTTTTTGAATATCAATTGAAAAATTTTAATTTTTAATTCCCGGGTTAATTGTAATAGGAAACAGATACATTTTGATCAGAATGCCTTTCATCCTTCCATTTTTTTCTTTTTCTTTTTGACAACAGCGCGCAAGTTTACTTACTCTCGTTCATCACGAGTATAAACAGATATATCGCAACATAGTCATTCAAGTTAGATTCAGTTAGGTTGAAAAGGTCGTCCTAATAAACGGACGAAACTAGTCCCTAAACTGCAATTGTGTTGTTGTTAGTGCGTGGGGGGTTATAGAAATCACCAGAGGGTGCGTATAGATATGAATATAAGCAAGTCCTTCAATGTCTCGATTGAAAAATTATCAAGAAAAGCCTTTCATTCTGCAACCATTTTTTCTTGTTTTAGAATTAAAAAATAGATTGTTCTTCCGATTTAAATTTCTTGTTTACATGGCGATCTATGCGGCTTTATAGAGCGTTTAGGTTTTAATATTCAACAGAGCAGAAATCAATTCATAGATATTTTGATCAGAATGCCTTTATTCTGCAACTATTTTTTCTTGTTTTTGTATTAAAAAAAAGAGTGTTCTACCAATTTAAATTTCTTGTTTACATGGCGGTGTAAAAGGCTTTATAAGAGCGTTTAGGTTTTAAATTTAAGCATTTAATACTTCATCGACGTCAAAAATCATTCTGTCTAAAACCTGTCAAAAAAGATGTACAAAAATCCGACCTTGTGACATTGTATTATCTTCACGTCACTCAGCTGTTATATACAAACGTCTGCTTTGTTTAACGAAATATTCATTTGCAGCAGCCGTACGACTCATATGGAATTTACCCCTTTAGGGAGATAAAAATTAATAAATACTGATTATTTTTAAGGCATATTTTGGTTCTAAGCTTCAAATACGACCTTGCAGAGTTTGTAGTGTCGGGGATACGTTTTGTTCCCAGAGTAACGCATTCACCTTGCCCTTTTGTCTAGGTTTCAGGTTTACAACTCGTAAACACTATTCTGTCATTATACTGGATCACTATTTGAGTATTTGCATTTTGCTTGTTGAATTAACATACCGTTAACTTATAAAGCATTCACGCGGAGAAAGACTATTGCAATGTTAGCTTCAAATCCAAGAACTCCGTAGCATTAGTCTTTGAGCTTTATTCTCAAGAAGCCAAACATGGCTGAAGAAAAGAACCCTTTTCAACGAAACGTTGAAATACGAGAATCAGCTGAGTTTGGTAATATAATAAAAACTCGAACAGGTAAGGCTTAGATGAGAGCTGCTTCGTGGTATTTTGTACCTTTTGTGTTTAAATTAACTCGTATTTGTATATCAAAATACCAAAGAACGTTCAACCTTGGTACCATCTTTGAGGCATCGAAGCTGAATGTTCTGTACCAACATGACAGAAGTACGAAGTTTGTAAAACTTAGACTTAACGCTTCAAATGTAGTTTGTTTTTAAAACATTTATCTAGCATGAAATACTTCGCATATTTCTTATGCTTCGATCATGACCTGGAAAAGTGCTGGTAGATGTTTAAAGTAAAACAAATAATCATTAAATCTGTTAGAATTTTAAGCTTTAACCCCTAGTAAACCCATACCAGTGTTCTTGGCAGATTCCTCGTGTTGGAGGACGTGTTATATTATTAATTTTCATTGAAATTCGCTTAGAATAATTTATCTTTCTTAATGGCTTTTCGTCTGCAAAGTGTTTTATCGATTGTCCTCGATAATAACAATTATTATAACTGGAATAAGAGATAAAAGAAAGCTACTTCATACAGTCTTGATAATCGCTGGAATTAAGCTGTGAAATAGCTTTTTTGACTTTAAAATTACCTTTAAAAATCCGGAGTAAACTAAGCACTTGAACAGCTTATTCTTTTGAGTGTAGTTTTCATTACTTTGATTCTTTTAACTCAGACACGGAGATCTTTTATGACAGATCCAAAAAGTTGACAAATCGGATAGATAAAGACTAAGAGATTTTAGTAGTCCATTTGTTGAACTATCTCGGAAAACTGATAAAAAAATTTTACATTCTAAATGAAAACTTATGATATTTGTTTAATTTCCTTATATTCTATGCAAATATTGAATTTTTTATTATACAACAAAAACACTTTGACTCTGTTTAAGCGCTATAAATTTGCATAGTATTCTATTCGACTTTAAACGCCCCCTTCCCCCACAAAATTAAGAATACCAAGGGTGGGGGGACAACATCTAAAAAAAATCATATATTTTATAAAACTAAGATTCTTCGTTTATAAAAAATTATTTTCTTTGTCGAAAACTGAATTGTGCTCGAGAAGGTCTTGTTCCTTTCTTTAATATTCCAAATGTATTACAAATGTTTTAATTCCTCTCCGCCCACATTATGATGGGAGAAAAAACCCTTACTTAACTTCTTTCTGTGATTGATTTGCATCTTATCCTATTTGACTTCAAGGGCCACCTTCCCCCCCAAAAAATAAGAATACCAGGTGGGGAAAACGGCATTTTTATAGATTTTTCATATATTAAACTAAGATTCTTTGTTTGTGAAAAATTATTTTCTTTGTCGAAAATTCCAAATGTATTACGAAAGTTTGCCTCCAGGCCATCTTAGCCCAGCTTATGATTAAAAAATAATAATAACTTGTATAATAACTCATTTCTACGATAGAAAACTTACACTAGTACCCTCGCAAACGCATATTCTCACAGTAAAGATTTTATTGGCACACTTTTTTGTCGCCTAGAAATAACCTTCCTAAAACAAAAATATTTTGGCAATTAATTTTTTCAACTCTAGAAACTTCTGTTCGATTATTCTAGCTCTTTCATCTTACAAATATTGATTTTTACTGTTCGATTTGTTTTTGAGGCTATGTTATAGCCAAAAGCTTTTGAGGGATATAGGGATCCGAAATGGCAGCACTGATATCTCAAAGATTGTGTTAATCATTTATAACAGATAAAGTTCCAACCTTTTAGCAGTAATTATAACTGTTGAAAGACATCAATTCACAGCGTAGGGTAGGAGAGATGTAGTCAAAATATTACCTACAGGTTGTCTCGTTTGCCGCGTGTCTTCTTTACCGCTCACTAGCCCTCTCGAAAGAATAGTCCATGAGCAATGATGATGAAAAACGATATAGTGGAATTAATATCCACCTGACAAGTCCTAAATCATTAAACAAACTTTGAACTTCCTTTACAAGGTATACGATAATTAGCCGAAATGGTGGATAGGATTGAGATTAGAATTTACTTTTATTTGGACATTTGTCATGTACTGGTTGAGAAAATATCGCTATCTTTCTCATCGTAGAGGCATTGGAGGTATTTACAATCGAAAAAAAAACTTGTCCATTAATTTTATATGATTTTCCTTAACCTATATTTATGTAAAATCCATCTTTCTCTCGCTTTTATTCATTGGATAGAACTTTATTTTGTCCTAAGCTTTCAGTTTTTCGATTTGTTTTTATTTCCATAGTTTTGTTTTGGCGTTTGAGTTTAAATTTTTCTCTGTTAAAGCGCAACAAGCGAACAAAATCTTAAAAACACGTTCAATATTAACAAAATCATTTATAATAAATAGAGTAAAAATGTAACTAAAAAAGACAACGTGTGAAACCCAAGACACAGGAAAATAAGTATAAGAATAAGATGACACTTTGTAGAACGTGTTCATTTTTTAAATTCAGTTCTGAGACTTCGGTATGAATTGCTATGGCAACGATGTTTTCATTCATACAATACCTAATAGTTTTCTTTTTTTCGTTTTTATTTTATTTTTATTCAAATTGGCTTGCTATAGATATCGGTTTTCTTGACATATTTTGTTTTTTAATAGTTTTATTGTCTAGTCTCATTTTAATGGTACAGTACTTTGACAGTTCTTTCTTCCTTCTCTAACATTGGACAGCTATTTTGCAGTGACGTTCCGACTAATCAAAAATAAAAACATCTTTGACCCCCGGCATTGTCTGAAACCAGTTTTTTTTTTAACCTTTGAAGCTTTCCATCTCGTCGCTGGCGCCATGAAAGACGCGAAAAAAAACACCTGCCTTGTAAATAATATTAGGGAAATTAAATGCTCAATAAATAAAGACACCTTTTGACATYGTTTTGTGTAAATTTTATTTTATTGCAGACGAAAGGGAGGCGATACATAAGAAGGCGTTTAGAAAATGGTTGAATGCGAAGCTACAAAAGGTATGCTAAAATAATTTAGATATCTATTAAACTGTAAATAGTACATATTGGCTGAGATCAATCATACAAAACTATAAGTCGTATACGACTAGTTTCCCTACATACGACTGAGTGTCAAAATAAAGATAGTCTCGACGATGACACGACAAGTCGTATAAGACTAGTCTCCCTATATACGATTTAGAGTGAGTACATTAAAAGATAGGCCCGACGATCATACAACAAGTCGCATACGACTAGTCTCCCTATATACGGCAGAGAATGAGTGTATCAAAAGATAGGTTCGACAATGATACAAGTCGCATACGACTTATCTGTGTCTATATTTAATCGCAGGCGACTCCTCCCATCGAAGTAAAGGACCTCATAGAAGACTTACGAGATGGTCACGTGCTGTTAACCTTAATGGAGACACTGTTCTCTACACAACTGGTAAGAATTGTATATTATTCTGCCTTATTCATTGTCATTAATGAGATATAGATGCGCACCCCGACCGGAAACGAATCCAGCACGAGGTGCTAAGGATGTGCCAGGGTCAATATCAACCCGGCTCAAACAGGGTGGGTGGGTGGGCGCCACACATAGTTATATATGTTGTGCTAATATGGCTACGCGTTGCTCTTAGCTGCCTTCATACTCTGTTATTTCTCGTGTATTAGTCTACTGCCTACAAGTTCTTTAGAAGAGGCTGACACGTTACCAAGGAAATGTAATGTGCGCTAATCTCGCAAAATCACGAACGACGCGAACACGTCACGCTACAGCAAGTCTAGTTTCTTCACGTCACAGATGGGAAAATCACGGGGAAAAGCTGGCGAGATTGTCAAACCAAAATTATTCCCCCAACTTTCCCAGACATATTTTTATTTCGCGACTAACTCCTGGACATTTTAAAACCATTATTCTCAATACTGCGTATTCAACTGCTAATCACGTGATCGCCTCTCGACCGATCATACCTTCGGCCACCTTCTATTCGATAGAAATTCAATATGCATATTCAGTGTTACTTTAAGAAAACATTCTTTCGCTCGATAAATTTTTATCGTTTTTTCCAGCCACGTGAAAAAGGCAAGATGAGGTTTCATAAACTAACAAACCTGTCGACAGCACTAAAATTTCTTGAGCAAAATGGGGTGAGTTAAAAAATGTATAAGTATTAGATAGTATTTGATGATGATGATGACAATTATGATTATGATACTTATATAATGCTTGTAAAGATGCTGATGTAGATGGTGGGGATGTTTGCGATGATGATGATGATGGTGGTGTTGAAAATGATGATAATGGTGATGACGATGATGATGATGGTGATGACGATGATGATGATAGCGATGACGATGATGATGGTGGTGACAGTAGTGGTGCTTATGATTGATGTAGATAGTGATGACAGTATTGAGGTGACAGTAGTGNGTGCTTATGATTGATGTAGATAGTGATGACAGTATTGAGGTGACAGTAGTGGTGCTTATGATTGATGTAGATAGTGATGACAGTATTGAGTGATCGTGATTGTGTTATTTCAACAGGTGAAGATAGTGGGCATCAGTAACTACGACATTGCAGATGGTATATCCAGAGCAATACTTGGTCTTGTATGGAGCATCATCCTAAGATTCCAGGTATCAATCAACTGTACCGTTGCCATACTATATTCTAAACATTAACAAAAACTTAGCTAGGACTTCCTGTGGTCTCGGGGGGAGGGGAGCTGCGGAAAAGGAGGGAAGAGATGGGACTAGGGAGGAGGAAAGAAAGACGAAAATGCTGAAAACTTGTTAAAACAATTTGTTGAAATGTGTTCATATCGCAGTAACGTCTCCCATAACAATACCAAGTGCCTTTGCGAAAGCTACTCGTTACATGCCCCTGCTTGTCTGTGTTAAACACGTCAATAAGATATTTAATGTAGAATGTTTTCCAATATTCGTCGCGAATTTCACAGGTACAAGGGCCATTTCAAGAAACAAAATCTGATGTCAAAGTGAAAGACTTTCATGTGGAGAAGGAGCTGTTAGGCTGGTGTCAAGATGTTTTGGATGGGTAAATACCGTTC